AAGTAGATAAATATCTATCTAGTTACTTAGATTTATCTATATTTACTTAAGAAGAATAGGATGAATTTAGGTATAATAATATATACTATAAGTAAATAAAAGAGGAAGTAATTATTTAGTATATTATCGCTAAGAATATAGCTAAAAATATATAGAAGAAAAAGAAGTAATATAAAACTATAGAAAAAAACTAGGAAGAACTCTAGTTAGAAGCTTTAAAAGATAAATCTACTATAGATTTAGAAACTTTAATTAAAGAAGATATTCTTTAGGAAGATATCTAGTACTATTAGGATACTAATAAGTATAAAAAGATACTATTTAATAGGCTATTTATAGTAATAGTCCCTTTAGTAACTAAAAAGCTATAGATATCTTCGGACTAGTTACTTTAGTTACCTCTATAAAAGCTAAATTATATTTATAGTCCTTTTAGGAATAAGGTTATATATATAAATCTATAGCTAGAAGCTATAGTTACCTAGAAAAGAAAATTCTTAAAAAGTATATTTAATTTATAAGTAATTTATAAAAAATTAGAGCTATTTACTAGTAAATAGGTACTATCGATTAAGAAAATTTAATAAAAAGGCTATATTAGCTACTAAAAAATAATATATTAAGTATCCCTATCTAAACGCCCCCGAATACTAGAAGCTACCTTAGTCTAAAAAGTAAGAATTTTTTATACCCTCCTTTTCCTTTTTTTTAGACTTAATAAAAAAGGAAATAGGAGTATCTAACTAGCTAAACTTCTCTAAAAAGCCTTTTATCTTATATTAGTACTTCTATAGGGCCTTAATTATACTAGAAATAGACTAATAGACTATATAGATAATAATAAAATTATTATCTATAGTAGTTACCTATATATATAGATTATTAGTAGATAAGATAAGCTAAGGATTATAGAAAGATAGGTTTAGGATAATAGCTAGGCTAATATTAGCTATAGAAGATCTAGTCTAGAAAGTCTCTAAAGCCTTATCCTTTCCTATATTAGAGATTATAGATATATATACTTAAATAGATATAGTACTAGATACTAGAATAGTAATATATAATATACTACTAGTACTAGAAGTATCTTTATAGGGGATAGTAATAATAGAGTAGGTCTTACTAAATATAGAAAGAGTTAGTAAAGATCTTTTTAGTTATAAACTCTATATAAATATAGGGGAGTTTAAGGTATTTCTAGTAAATATAGTCTATATATTTATAAATTAGGATTAAAGGCCTAGTAAAAACTATCTATTTAGAAGAGAGAGCCTTAATTTTCTCTATATTAGAGTCTATAAGAGCCTTATAGGTATATTTATCTTTACTAGACTTACCTAGACTATCTTTATTAGGATATTTTAATATAGGTTAGTAAGGGTTTAGGTCTTTTAGAGGCTATAAGATAAATTTTAGTAATATCTAACTAGGCTACTAAAAGCTATAATAATTACTAGCTATATTAAAATTATAGTAAATATAGGACCTATTAAAAATTAGCTTAAAAGTATCTTTCTTATCTATAATATTAATAATATAAATTATAAATAGTCTATATCTATTTATATATTATTTATAGGCCTATTTAGCTACGAACCTAATCTACTAAATAAAGATAGAGTATATTTAGAAAGGTATAATATAGTTCTTAGGTTTTCTTTTATACTAGTCTATATAGGCTATTTTAAAAAGGCTAGATTAAGTATAATATAAAAAAAGGAAATATCTAGATTACTATAGTTATCTAGCCTTTTAACCTAAATAGGAAGATTCGAGACTAGAATAGAGAGAATAGGAATAGTAAGAATTATAATAGTAATAGAAATAGGAGAAATAATAGTAATAATAGGAGCTATAGTAAAAGATATAGCCTAAATAGGAGCTATAGTAATAGATATAGCCTAAATAAGAGCTATAATAATAGATATAGCTTAAATAGGAGCTATAACTAGGTCCTCTTCTAGCTTATTAAGTATAAAAAGAAATAAAAAGTCCCTAAAGATAGAAAGGCTAGTAGAGCTAGTAATATTAGAAAGATAATTATTATTACTAGTAATAGTAGGAGTTAAGGAAAGATTAGCTATAATTATAACTAAAAAAATACTTCGGAGAGAACCTAGTTATAGAAGTATTAGTAAGGCTATTTCTAAAATACTAATAATAGGATATAGTAAGAAGGATATTTCTAGAAATACCTAATAGTAATATACTATAAAAAGGCTATTCCTAGAGTACCTAATAGCTATATATATTAGAAAAGCTATCCCTATAATATCTACTAACTATATATATTAGCAAGGCTCTCCCTAAGGTATCTAGTAGCTAAATATATTAGGATAGCTAATTCTAGTATATTTAGAGATAGATAACTAATAAAATTAATAGAAACTTATATAGGATAGATAAGATAGGTATTAATAAGTAATAGTAGATAATAGGAGATCTAATAATATTTATATTAGATATATAGATAGGTTTAGGGCGCTTACTAGCCTTAGGCTATTATTTAAGCTATTTATTTACCTAATATACTATATCTTTATTAATATTTTTAGCTAATATATCCCTTTATATCCAAAAACAGAAATATTACCTCTATTTATATTTATCTACTATAGAGGGTATTTCTATATACTAATATATTATATAATACCTCTATAAATACTAGGATATTATATAATACATCGGGTTACCTATAGATAGGTACCCTAGGTAGTTTAGTAGGATACTTTTATACTATAATTTAACCATAGTTTAGCCGTAACCGGCCACTTTTCTTTTATCTATATATATATTTATATATACTACTTTCGGGTCCGATAAAGACTAATTTTATACAGTAGACTCGGGTCGAGTCTTATTAAGTAGGGGAGGATATAATCCTAGGCGTACTTTACCGTCCTTTAACCTTATATATTCGGCCCTTTACGGGTACTTTCTACTATATTTTACCGTACTTATGTCCTTATAGACATATTCGCTTACGATAATAACAGAACATGCTCTTACACTCCTGTTATCTCATAGATATTTTAGGCTATATTCTTAGGCTTACCTCGACGAACTATACTTCTCTTACTTATAAGAGATTCGAATTTATCTTAGGGAGATATTAACTATTTTATTATCCTTGATTTATATTATCGAATCTTACTAACTTTACTAATCGATCTAAGATCGATTTTCTAATAAAATATTATACCTTATATATAGCTTATATCGTATGCGAGTATATTATAGAGCTAGGACGTAAGCTTATAATATAGCTACCTTATTCGCTAGATCTTAACCTAATTAAAATTTTATAGATATTATTAAAGCAAAAAATCTACTAACTTCGGCTAGATTTATTATATATACCTAATAATAATAGTATACTAGTAATTCTAATTAAAACTATATAAGAGCCTTAGTAAAAACTTAATCTTAGTATCTTAGAAGGATTATCGGAGAGTATACTACGTAGAGTATAGATAATTATTAATTCTAATAGGTAGTATACTAAATATTGAATATTATAAGGTTTTTTAGTGCGGTAGAATTACTAGCAGAAACAGGTAGTATAAAAAGGGTAGTCTCAGACTTTTAGTGTGCCACTATATAGGAGGAGAGGTAGATTATAAGAGAAAGCCTAAATAAAGCGGGCGTATCGATATATCTAGGTACTAACGAGCTCCTACAATAGCTCCTAGCAAGACTAATCCTAGCTTAGTTTATACTATCTTCGAAGCTCCTCGACTAGTTCCGCTATATCGACCTAGCAGCTACTAGAGTTATTAAATAGGAGGATTCTTAAAGCACTATATCACTCGAAAGCTTCTAGGGTAGTAGTCCTTTAAGACCGATAGGATATATAACCAGAGGCAAACTACTAGGATCTTCGTATACCCCCCTAATTTCCATTATAAGCGAAAAGTAGTAAAGGCCGTATACGTACGGAGGGTATATACGAAGGAGATCGGCCTACTCGGTAATTCGAGAACCTAGTCATTTAGGCCTATTAGTCGGAAGCGAGTAATAGTATAGCGTAGCGAAACGGTAATCTAGTGATTTAGGACTCGGTAATTTAAGTATATACCGATAAATAGAGGGAGGACGGAAGGGGGGGAGATCGGCTTAGTAATGCGGGCTAATAGGGGTATCAGATATTAGAAGGTCGGATAGGGATCTAATCTATTAAGGCCACAGGTATATATAGCGCAGTGCTACTAATAAGGCTTTTTAATTATAGCGCTGGATATTTCCTTCTTTACTAGCGCTGCCTAAGGACAGCCGCAGGGACGTTAGATCGCAGGGGCGGTAACTCCCTAGCTCTCTTTTTTGCCACTTTTCGTTTGTCCTGTTTATCTTGTTTTATTTACTACGTTTGCACTACTTTCTTTAGTCTAATAGCGGTAAGCTATCTGATCTCGCTACGGACAGCTTCGCATGTGCACTAGGCTGGAAACCAGAGGGCGCAAACCCCCGCATAGCACCTATAATCATAGGAAGCTAGATCGGGAATAAGAATATTGATTGATATAGCTATTCCGATAGAGGTCGTCGGTAGTATACCTAGCCTCGATAGCTAATAAGGGCTTTCTACTAGTGTATACAAATAGGCTCCTATAGTTAACAAAACCCTAGCCTACTGGGATGAACTATATCCCACTTACCCCTATAGGATAGTGGTTGTAAATTATTCTACTACGTTCGAAGCAGGGACAGCTGCTACGATATCGCGGCTAATAAACGGGATCGCCTTGGACACGTTGTATTTCTGGAATCCAGCGCTAAATGGGGACTGTAGTGGGTTGTGGCCAGATTATTATACTTGTGTGGGGGTATAAATGTCCGTTCTACTACATATGTACCTCAATGCATACACATGGGAAGAGCAGTGGCTAGTAGGTAGGATAAGTAGATGGTTTATACTCAAGCTGACATTTTCGTCTTCTTCCTCGGACTGTAATGGAAATACCATTGCCTAACCATAGCAGTTTGTAATGAGCTAGTTACAACTACTGGAATCGAGCAGGTGGCGGCCAGATCCCATCTCTTTCCTCTAGGCCTATATGTATTGCATTGGTGGCCGCATGCAATCTGCTCAGCTCTGAGGTATGCCGATAGGGCTTCCGTCTCGCCTCGCCTTGGAGATCGCGCTGGACCAACCGCGCAAACAATGTCGGGGCGATATGCTTGATGTCGACTTTTAGAGGTTGCAAAGCCTCGGGCTGAGCTCCAGTCCCAGTTCCTGGCTCTGGCACTGTCTCTGTCTTTGACTCTGAATGTGGTTCAGGCTCAGCTAACCAGAGATACGGCCTTGTAGTTTCACGAGAGCGGAACGCCTCCTCATCCACATAGAGAAAGGCGTCGCGTCGAAAGCCAACGGGAATCTCATTATTCGAGAGCATTTTGTTAAACCTGCTCCGTAGTGCACTCAGGTCCAAGTTGTTATTAATAATACCTGGAATAGCCACCCAGTGCAGGGTGAATCGGTCCCTCGTCTCGTCCTTGATCAGCCTCGGTGAATAGTGTAGTCCATGGTAAAGAGCCGTTCCGATCTGGGATTTATACTCCAGAAGACGACCTCCTTCTTCCTCTTCTTCTCTCTGGAAGAATACCACGAGACCAACGCGACCTCCCGCTTCACCGGGGCCCTGATCATTAGGACCAGAAGCAGGATCGGAAGCAGAATCATCCGCTGAATTTGAACTGGATTGCAGTACGTGCTCCTGCCAAGGAACCTTCATCGCAAACCGAATATTCCTAATATCATCATCGTTCAGCGCTTTGGCCGCCGCCAGCTCCACCGCTAGCCATCGCTGCTTAACCCTCTGCGCCACCTCCCTCGCAGCTCGGATATCGTCCGTCCTCGTCGCCTCCATAGCTCGAGCCTTAAGGTCCCGATCTTCAGGACTAATGCGCGCTACCTCAGACAGGATATGGCCCGGTTGTCCCTCGACTACGCCGGCCGTTAGGAGACTGGCTTCTTTATAGCTCAGGCCAAGGCTGCTAAGGGAGAGGCCATCATCATCATCATCATCATCATTGCTGTTGTTGATGTTGTTGTTATTGTTGTTGTTGATGGCTTTGGTAATCAGCTCGTCCATCGACAGGCCGCAGGCATTTCGACAGAGGGTGTTTTCCTCATCTGGTGGGGGGCGCTGGTTGATGAGTCGGCGTTCTTGATCCGTTAGTGATGAGGGATCGGATATGGCGCGGTTGTAGAGCGTGCGGGTTGACTCGTCCAGGGCTAGAGGGGTTCTGTCTGCGTTTATGCTGAAAGAGTTGGTCCCTCTAGCGTCTATAGGGAAAGACATGTTAACAAATTATATGAATATTCAGAAAGAAGAGGATAATTGTGTGTAGGATGTAAGTAGGAAGGGGAGAAGAGAGCAGCCTAAAGAGATGCAGGAGATGCATGAAGGAGGAAAAGATCTGTCTGAGAGGGCTGGAGGAGTACATCCTGCGCTCGTCCTAATCCAGTTAGCGTATCTCGAGTGAAGCTTTCTCCCCTCCACGAAATGATTTTGCCCGAGGTTCCTTCCACGCCCCGTGTCGGACGACTTGGTAATCTCTATTAGATGACTAGGGCCTTCTCATCCCGTTGATTGAATGATCGCATCCTCTATTTTTAAAGCGCCTCCTATAAACAGAACTATGACACATTAGAGCTATGCTACGTTCCATTCAATACTGGCCGGGGGGTGAATTCCCAGTTCCATCAAACCACACCTAGAATCGGATTTATCTTTGGACTAGGTCAAGGAGGAGGTGAAGGGCTGGCTACTCTTTGTGCAGGTATGTCTTTACAGAATCTTGTGTTTGCCAGCTACGCCTGCAGTGAGTACTTACTTGCAGTCAGGAAAATTGGGTTCCTGCAGCCAACACTGGTGCTTCCAATGACGGAGAATATAAGCTACATTAAAGGCGCCGCCCTATTAAAAAATAGGCATCGGCTATACAGGAACTTCGTAATATGAATTCAACCCTAGTTAAATCTCTAAAATTTATTGCATTAACTAATTCTTCTATTCAGTTATACTAATCGCGTGCGCCTATACCTAAAGGCCTTCAGTATCTAGCCGAAGCATTGGTATATATCTATAAAACTCTTTAGCGAGGCGATACTAACGACCTAGTTTCTATCGCCGCTATCGACGAGGCCCATACTACTAATCGGGCGCGATAGGTCAAATTCGCTATTCTATTGTATAACTATAATTTCGACACCGGGCACTGTCTCCTCGATAATTATATACCCTTAGAGGCTATCTTAAACCTAGAAACCACCACTAATCCTTCGATAGAGGATTTTCTATCCTAGCAGGATTTAGAGACCGCAAACTTTATCAATAATTATCTCACACATACTAGCACCGTACTCAACTACAGGTATATAGGCCTTTATATACTAGTTAATAAAAAGGGTCTAAGAACTAGTCGCTAGACCTCGGCAAGGACCGCCTAGGACCGGACCAGGACCGGGACCGGACCGCACTATGTAGGGCTTGGTCCTTACTTTTAGGACCGCTAGACGGTCCTGACTTTTTTAGGACCGTACTACTACGGTCCCGGTCCCCTGTACGGTCCTGTAAATAAGATAAATATAGGAAACCTCGTAATATATATATTTTATGTAGAATTATTTAGTATTTTTTAGTATTCTACTTTTATTCTTTATTTGTATAGGTTAATTTTAGCTTAAAGAGGATTTCTGCAGAAAAAACTAATAATAATAATTTCGGCCGAAAAAACCTGATTTTTTGTCTCTACTAATTATATATAAAATCTATATTATATCTTAATCTCTTTAGGATACGCCCTAATAAACGCCTCTAGATATTAAAATTAGGTAGAGGGATCTTATTATCTTCTAGCTTAGTAAGCTAACTATTAATAGCCCTTCTCTTCCCTAGTACTCGTTAACTAGGCTACTAAATAGATACTTCTATAGAAGTATTTATTATCTTACCTTCTTTATTATTACTAATAGGATTAAACTCCTTATTATTTTACTTAGTATTATCTTACTTTTTTTTTATATACTTCTCTTAAGTAGAGAGAAACTTATCTATTAGCGTAAGCTATTTTAATTATATATTAATTCTTATTATATATATAAATATTATTAGATCCTAAATAGTCTATAATTTTAATAAGCTACGGCGATAGTAGTATATATCGTAAGTAGAGTTAAAGAGCCTCTCTACCCTAGAGCTACTAGCTAGAGTTATAAGGATATCTCGAGTAAGGCTTACTAGGATAGGATACTCTACTTTATAGGCCTTCTAGAAGACTAGGGATATTAATTAAATAGTATCTAGAGAGATATAATATTAATAAAAGCTAAGATATATTAGTATAAGGGAGTATTATTAGACTTACTACTTCTAAGATATCTTATAATTTTATCTAGAGTAGTTAGCGTTAACTAGAGAGAGGTAGTAGGTCTTAGAAATATATTAATATTAGAGATATTATTACTTAGTAACTAGGTAGTTAATATTAACTATATCTCTATATAGCGCTATTAGTAAGGCTCGATATAAATATTAAGGGACTCTTAATACTATAATATCTAGTATTTCTCCTATTCTAATATCCTAAAGAACTTAAGCTTATTTTATAGGCCTAAGATAGTCCTAATTATATAGAGATTATTTAGAATATTATTAGTCTAGCTATAATACTCCGTAAGTTTTTTACGCCTATACTCTAGCGCTAGCTTTATTACCTTCTTCTATCTAACTCTTTTTTATACTAGCTATACCTTTATCTTATTAATATAGATAAATAAGGTATTATAGATCCTAAATATATTATAGATAGTTATATTAGTTATCGCTAATAGAGATAAAGTAAACTTAAAGAAAAGATAGGTAATTAATAGTAGATAGTTAATCTATCGCTATTTATCTTTATCTAGCTTTATATTAGTTAGATTAAACTAATTATAAAATCTATTAAATATAGTATATAGCCGATATATGTACCGAAGTATTAGAAAGATAGAATTCTAGTATATTCGGATATCTTATATTAGTATAAGCTTTAGTTCTTTAGTCTAAAGTATACTAAAGCTCTTACGGCGCTAGAGGCTTTTATTAATATAGATAGTAATCTTTCGAACCTAGAAGATATTATATAGTTAGTATTAAATAGAGAAATAATAGTAGAAAGGAGGTATAGTATACTTTATTTAGGGTCTATATAATCTTCCGATTCTCTTACTAGACGCTATCTCCCCGATCGGCCTATTCTATCTCTTCCCTATTATTTTATAGGTTCGTATCTATCTAGCTAAGAAGCTCTTTAAGACTAAGTTATATAATATATATAATATATAGTATACGAATAATTAGTATATAACTAGGAAGCTTAAGAGACGAAACAGCCTCTTTAAGAGTAGTTAATAATATACTATAATTCGATATATTATTAGTTATAACTATAAGTATATAATTAGTAATTTAATACTTCTTAAGTAGCCTAAGTAGAATACTACTTAGATAGATATCTATATAAAAGCTATAGAGAGGTTTAAAGCTAAATAGAATCTTATAATAGTTCTACTTAAGATTAATAAAGTACCTAGTAACTACTATAAATACTTAGCGAAAAGGAGAGGTCTAGTAATCTAATATAATAGAAAGCTTAGTACCCTCTAGGAGTATTTAAAATAGAGACTCCTAATATTCTATAACTATCTTCTAAAGATACCGACGGATAGTCCTAGTACTTAGTATTTTAGGGGTAGATAGGATAGAAGAAGCTATCTCGATAAAGGTATAAAATTTAGGGTACTTAATAAGCTAAAATAGTAGGTATATAGTAATAATAAAAATAGTTAATCTATCTATCTAAGCGTTTACTAAGAAGCCTTTTTTACTAGATAGGTAATTTACCTAGAGATAATTATATAAGTTAGTATAAATTAGCCTTATAGATAGTATTTATACCCTATTTAAGATTATCTTTCTAATATCTTATATCTTACCCCTTCCTTTTTAATAGGTAGTAGCTTATAAGTAATACCTATTTATAGTCGATATTCCTCGGTACCGGTTAGTAGGATAAGTAAAGATACAATTATACTATTTATATATTACCTTAGGAGACCTATTAGAGATAGTAGTAATCTAGTAGAAGTATTCCTAAATACCTACCTAGCGTTTACTCTTAAAGATATTTCGTTCTATTCGGCTTCTATAGTTAGTCTTTTACTACTAATCAATAAAATCTTTATTAACTATCTCTATCTAAAGAAGAAACTACTTCTTTCTATATAGACTAATAGGCTTAAGGATCTCTAGAATTAGGATAGATATCGCTAGTCGTATAAAGATTAAGCTAGGAGTTAAAGTTAGTATTTCGTCTTTATCTAGGTTAAATAGCCTATCGGATATAAAGAAAGAGAATATATTTATAAGGTTATCCTTAAAGACTAATAAAAGATAGTTATTAGAGAACTAGGATACCTAGCTCTATAATATATTAATAAGTAATATATAAGAGAAAATAGGAAGTAAGGCTAGGGGATAATAGGAAAGATATATAATTATCTTTTTATCAAGGTAAATAAATAATTAGGGAGATTACTATAAGGGAAAAGTAATTAATAGATAATTTAAGATAGAACTAGCTAGATTCTAGATAGTAATTAGCTAATAAGACCTACTCTACTACTCTACTACGGTCCTTACGGTCTAAGACCGTAAGGACCGCTAAAAGACCGCTACCCCTACTTAAAGAGCGCTACCTTAGGGATAGCGGATTATATATAGGTTTCTAATAGCTATAATAGTTATTAGAGATCTAGGTTAAGGATATTAATAATATCTTAGCAGATAGCCTATATTTCTAACGGCCGTTAAGTATTTTATAACTAGGGAAATCAATAGTATCTAGATAGTAGATAGTATTAAATTCTAATAGCTATCGAAATTTCCGACGGCTATCAGAAATTAACACTAAGGATATTAGCTAGCTAATATATATTTCTAACTACAAAACTAATAAAACTCCTACCCCCCCCCCTAACCTCTCTACTAGAGTAGTAAAATACTTAAATTTTAGTTAGTTCTTATACTTTAATAAATAAGATTCTAATATATAAGCTTATTTTACCTACTTTATCAATAATTAGGCCTAGTTTATTATGAATATTAGTGTATATACTAAAACAGTATTTAATAACAGTAATAAACGCAGCTAAATTATTAGTTTATACGGCCGAAAATAGAAGGTCTTAGCAGAATTATAAACATACGGGGGACCGTACGGGGGACCGTACGGGGGACCGCAAAGGACTATAGGG